ATAACAAAGATTCCCCATGCACAGAAAGCTTTCTGGACTGACACCAGGGAGACCACGAAAGGCAAAGCATACCCTGTATCTCCCGAGAGTCAGTGCTCAACTGAAGCTTCTGGCCTATTTTTATACCATTTTGGTCCTATTAGGAGGATCAAAAATGGTCATTCTTAAACAATTTGAACCGGGGAGCAGCCTGTGATTTCAAGATTAACTGTTTATCTAGCAGAGCATCACACTTAAATACCCAGTCTAAAATCTGAACTGTCTCTCCACTGAGGACCCTAAGTGGCTTCCAACATTGTTCTCCCCTCTTCCCCTCTGGTCTCATCACAACTGCAAGCCTGTGAAGTAGGTGAGGCTGGGAGAGATGGACTGGTCACCCAGGGAGCTTCCACAGCAGAGGGGGGATTCAAACGTGAGACTTACGTATCCTAGCCTGACTCTCTAATGCATACACCACACTGGCTCTGCATAACCTGGGACCATTTTACAATATAATTTTTGCATCGGTTTTGTATAAAAGGCATGAAAGTGGCTTAAAGAAAATGAAAAATACAAAAAAATTAGCAATGAATCACCAAAAACTGGGTGAAAGAAAAATCAATGACACTGGCCAGGGATGAAATGGAAAAAAAGGAAAAAAAGAAACAGTCATAATAACCATCTCATCTAGACCATGACTTGTTTGTCTAGTACCACCTAGTGGTTTTATACCTTAAATACAGCAGCCATGCCCTCTACTTTAAAAATGCCTGGAACTGCAAAGTAGCTCCAAAGGTAAAGCATTCAACGAGTCTGTCTGGTGTGACGAGGGACAAGAGGATGAAACCAATCACTTTCTTCCGTGGAACTGCACTTGCAGGGGAGGAAAGAAAAACAATTTCAACTTCTTGTCACTTCAAGCTTCTCTCCCCGCCCCCCAGCTCTTCCTTCATGGCCCTAGGAATCATCTTTTTGCAGGCTGGAAGGGGCTGTGAGAACAGAGAGGAATACAGAAAATGTGTGTTCTGTGCCTGCATTGGTAGGATGCACACCAATCAGGGCCAACAGCAGAATACAGTAAGATGGAGCAGCTGCCAAGGCACAGAGTCTCTGGCGGGGTCGCTATTGCTGATGTCCCCTGCACACTCACTTGCTAGCGCTTCACTACCCATGCGTCCTTCTGCAAGCACTGCCCAGTGCCACTAGGAAAAGGGCTGCAGGTAGCTTTGAGCATGGGCAGTGGAAGGGCTTGTGAGCAGGCAATGGAAGAACACACAAGTATGTGGAAGGCATGTAGGTTGATGGGAAGGAAGGAGTGCACAAGCAGCAGGCCTGGTGGTGGGCAGAGGATGGGAGGGGGCCCCTGGAAACTCTCTGCCCAAGGGCCCCCAAAAGCTGGAACCAGCCCCAACACTAATATTAGCCCAGTTGCGCCATTACTCAGCTGTATATGATTTTCTGATGGGACCAGCTCATTAGTCTCACTACTTCTGGGATTGTTGCTGCACTGTGAAGCAAATACATGGACCTGAATATTTAGAACTGAGTTGGATTAACAAGTTTAGGATGGAGAATATGGAGAGTTGTGCAGTATGGAGGCAAAGAGAGTGAGATAGAAATCAGGAAATTCTCACTTTTGAATTTTGTTTTTTACTAATGAAATCATCAGGAAGACCTACCTCCCTGCACTCCCCTCTCGTTGGCCAGCATGGTAGTTCTCAACTGAATTAGTACAAACTAGGGATGCCACAAAATTTGTGGTGAAGACATTCAATAGGTGAACATACTGTTTGCAAGAGCCACAATTAGGATATTATACCCCCTGTTGAGGTCCTTCCCTTCCTCAAATGCAGGCTGTCCCCAGGGTTTTCCACACACACACACCGATCTCCAGGGATTGCCCAGTCTGGAGTTAGCGACCACAAGAGGCAAGGAGGGCTGGTTCAGTCCTGAGCTTTGCATAGCCAGTCCCACTGGGGCTTGCCTGCTGCCCTTGACTGCCTGCCACTGATGCCTCTGCCTCCTCCAGCCAGAACATGTTGGGCTCCTGCCTGTGCTGCCTAGGCTGCTGGAAAGATGGCTGGCTGTTCATGTGCAGCAGGCAGACTCTCTTTGACCTCACCTCCCCAAGCCCTGCTGAATGGCTTTCCTCTTGCAGGCAGCCTAGGGAAGGGGCCCATGGGCACAGGCACCTATGGAAAGCTGTGGGCTAGCTCGCCAAACATGCCAACTTATGTAAGTGTGTGAACAGAGTGACTGGCCAGGCATGCTATGAGCAGCCGCCTGGGCAAGAGAAAAGCCCAGCGCTTATGTAAGGGGCACAACAAGTGCAGAATGCTGAGGGTCAGGGACAGAGGAGGCCCACCGAGTTGGATGAGCTGGAGCCTGCTAACCCACTGGCCCAAATGTACATGGCTCCTCTCCTGCCTGCCTCCCTCAGCAGTGCAGGGAGAATTAAACAAGAGGTGAAGCCGAAATGCACTCACACACCCTGTACTCCCTACATGCAACTGCTGCCTTATGTATCAGTCTGAATGGAAGCAGGGGAGAGGGGGGTGTAAGGCGAAGGTCAGGGATGGGAGCAGGCATTCAGAAAAGCATGCTGGGTTTGCACACGGCAGAGGTGGGCACTAGATGTGTATCTGTGTGCTTGCACATGGGGAATAATATTTTGGGTGATTGAACAATGCCATGAAGCTGGCTGGAAATAAAGATCTGCAAAAGGCAAGCTGGCATCTTTAGATAACTACTATAAATATATGGTATCTTATTCTTACAATGGTGGCATTCTTTTCTATGTTATCTTTGGAGAGGGGCAGTGCTTGAAAATTGCTTGTGATGCTGGTGAGCATCACAGTTCCCCTTGTGGTTCAAGCTTGTTGCTGAATTTGGGACTTTGGGATTGCACTGCTGCCTCACCCCCTCCTCTCCCCAAAGCCTGTTGACCATAGCAGTTTCTTTAAGGCTGGGCTTATTGGGTTTCCCTCACTGATGCCACTTGGCCAGCTGTCTTTGGGGTCTGCACCTGTGACAACAGAATGCGGCATTTCATGTCCCAGCCCATCAAAAGCTTCTGAAATGTGTTCGTTTTTAAAGAGCTAGAAGAGTAGAATGTGGCATTTCATGCCCCAGCCCATCAAAAGCTTCTGAAATGTGTTAGTTTTTAAAGAGCTAGAAGAGTTTTTGGTTGTTGCAACTTGATTGTCAGGCAATAGCTCTTTGTGCTGCGCAAAACTGCTTGTGCATATCAAGCAAAGGATGGTTAGTGAGGTGCTGAGGAGGGGTGTGGGTCATGGTCAGTGGGAAAATATCTCCAGTACCTAGCATTACATTTTATGGCACACATGGCCCAGCCCGACAAAGTGACATTCATGTCAGCTCCAGCCTCAAAACAAATGAGTTTGACACCTCTACATGACAGATAAGTTGGGTCAGGTAATGCACAAGACAATTCTAAGCAGAAGTACACCCTTCTAAGTCCATTAATGTCAATGGACTTATAACAGTATACCTCTTTAAGATTGCACAGTAAATGAAATAAGGTGGCAACTATGCCTCCCATAAGAATATGCAGAAATGAGCATGTGCAAAATAAAGTCAATAACACATATTTAATTGAACACCAAATGGTGTTTTTCCCAAAAAAATTTGAGTATTTATTATTGCTGACTGATTTGGTCACTGTTTATTTCTACAATTGGCTGCTAAGCAGCATGCTGCTACAGCAAGTCTATGGAGGGTGGGGCTCCCAACAATCTCTTTGAGAAAGATATGTAAGAAACACTGCTGGCTGCACTGTATTGTTTGAATACATGAAAAAGAATGTGACAAACAATCGAACGGATTGACTGCCTCCCCACCCCCCCAAAAAAGTGCCTGGTTCATGTCTGTCACACAGACTGTGAGCCTGGCCTAATGTGTTTGAGCATCTCCAGTACAAGCTGTAATTAACACACCAGCTGCAAGTCCTAGTTTGAAATCCTTGTTTGATACCAACCAATAAACTGCATTCGGACATCACAGCCTACCCATCTGATGCAGGAAAGTCCCATTCAGTGAATTTCATCTGCCTTTGGTACTTAAGATTCAACTAATCGTCTGTCAGGACCCACAGTCAAACAATGGAGCACACACTTCTTTGAAGGTTATACTTTATTGCTAGCACTATGGTAGCATAGACACAGTCACTGTTAGGAATAACTACACCATAGAAAGCTGAGAGAGATAGGGTATTCAAATGTACCCCCCCCCACCACCTATGGGCCATCGGCCTAACTCCCGTGGGTGGGAAGTAGGACCAGGGCAGTTAGAGCCGAGGCTGGGAAGTAAAACTAGTCACGCGGTTAATTGATGAGAAGACACTACACGGGCTGGCTACAAGGTCAGTGATAACTAGGGGGAGAAAGGAATGTGGCAGCAACTGGCACACAGGTCATGAAAGCGAACCCGGGCCCATAAACAATATGGCAGCATAGCTGGCATCGTCCTGTTCACTAAAATTAAGTTGTTGTTGTTGTTCAGTCGCAGTCCTGTGCACTAAAATTAAGTTGTTGTTCAGTCGCAGTCCGACTCTTCGACCCCATGGACCACATCACCCAGGCCCGCCTGTCTTCCGTCATGCACTGGAGTCTGCTTAATTTCATGTTCGTTGCCTCGATAACACTGTCTAACCATCTCATCCTTTGCCGTCCCCTTCTTCTTTGACCTTCAATCAAAATTAAGTAGCCAGACTAAAATTTGGCATGAACATACCTTCTACACTGCAATCTTAAATATATTTATTTGGAAGTTATAACGGACTCTTTTCTCCATGTAAGTGAGTTTAGGATTAGAACGTTAGGGTCTTTTTTCCAAGATCTTTTTTAGTCTGTGCAAGGCCTTCCAAGGGCTAATGATGTCACCACCTGCTGGTGAGTGCCTCAGAAAACAAACCATAGGGTAGTTTAAAAACAGAATGTCCCAAATTCCAACAGTTAGGATTTCTCTACAAACACTAATGGGCCATCATTCTTTATTTGCAGGTGGATTTATCAGATTGTGCTCCTGAGTTGCACTTGTCTCCTGAACATGGCAGCCCAGAAAGGAGGTGAGAGATGCCAACCAATGTCAGTGCCGTGAATGCTGTTGTTTTTAACCAACATTATCTAATATGATTTTTCTTGGGAGACTGTTTCTGGCCTTTGAATAACAGAAGCCAGATTTTGTCTGTCGCTGCCAACAGTTCTCAGGTGAATCATAAGAACTCTCTTATAACTGCTGAAGTTCAAAAACCCAAGGAAATGGTAGACATAGTGCATACTAGAGATATAGCCCAAAGCTAGAATTGCCAGGTCCCTGCTGGCCACCAGCGGGGTATGGTAGCCAGATCCAGACTTAAGAATTACAGCCCTGTCGAATGCATATTTAATGCATCACTGATTCACAGGATTTCTCCCCAGTAAGCATTCACTGAAGAACTGTAAAGTAAGGATGCCAAGAAATTGAACTAGACACTGATACTATGCTTCCTTTTCTTGGGAAACTCCTTGTAGTGCATGGCTGGTTTCTGATGCTTTGAAGGCTTACCTGACCCCTTTTTCAAGCTTCCATCAATGCCTAAAGCTGTGTTCAGACTCCAAATCTCCATGTAAACACCATGGAGAAGTTGGATAATGTGAAGTGGCTGGATCATACCTGAAAACAGTTCTTCTTAGAAGGGTCAGGGGGGGGGGGGGCATTTCCTCTGCCCTGTGAGTTCCTGTCAGGTACACCACTGGTATGATATGCACAAAAAATCAGCCAAAAAGTAAGCTACACAGTAGCCTCCAGCTACTAGTGAATCTCCTTGATGCCATGGAATTTTCATGAATGGTCCCAGTGCTTATAGCACAGATGTAGAATTTTAACAATCAGAGCCGCTACAATGCAGAAAGTGGGCGGTTTAGCTCAGAAAAAAACATCTCAAGTCTTAGAGGTAGAGAAAGATGTGTGCCAGTTGTGGGACTGGTATGCGGAAGGCAAGGGGCATAGATGCAGGTTGCTTGGGGAGGTAAGGAATCAGACAGACTAGACGGAAATGGCTGTGGAAAGAGCTAGGTATCTGTTGATTCAAAACAACTTGTCCAAATGTGCACATGTGAATGGGCTGTCTCCTCCTTCACATGGAAGACAAAGAGAGAATCTGCCCTGGTCACTCTAAAACGAAGGAAATGAAAGTGGTTGCAGCAGCTATGAAGGAGGAGTGGGGAGCGATTTTTCATTGCTTGGAAAGTGAATGGTCACTTAATGCATATCTGTAACCTGAATGCAGCCACCTGTTTACATTTTTGCCTACAAGGATCAGTGGACTGGATTTTTATTTTACTTAAAACATTTATTAGCCACCTATCTCCCTTGCGGAACTCAAGGTAGCTTACAATATTAATAAAGAATAAGAAGAGAAGAGAAGAGATTGGATTTATACCCCACCCTTCACTTGGAGTCTCAGAGTGGCTTACAAACTCCTTTGCCTTCCTCTCCCCACAACAGACACCCTGTGAGATACATGGGGCTGAGAGAGCTCTTTCGAGAACTGCTCTTTCAAGAAGAGCTCTGAAAGAACTATGGCTTGCCCAAGGTCATCCAGCAGCCACAAGCATTACATAGAGTAAAATAATAAAAACCACTATTGAGCCAAAAGGGAACTAGGTTGCTGGTGATTAATATCAACGCTATAAAAAGTAAAGAGGCTTCTTTTAAAAAGTGGAAGGTCTGCCCCAATGAATTGGAAGAGGAGGGACCACAGGCTGTGGCAAAAGAAATGTAAATCAATCATTAGGCATGCAAAAAGAGATCTTGAGGAGCAGGTTGCTAAAAGCATCAAGACAAACAATACTTTTAAAAAATATATCCAGAGCAGTGGGGCCTTTGGATGACAAAGGAATCAAGGGAAGATGAGGAGATGGCAGAGAAGCTCAATGACCTTTTTTCTTCTGTATTCACTGTTGCAAGTGTGAGGCATGTACCCATGCTACAGCCTCTATTTTCAGGAAGGAAATTTGAAGAACTGAGCCAAACTGGGATGACCAGAGATGAAGTTCTAGACCTACTGGGGAAATTAAAAACCGATAAGTCTCCAGGTCCTGATGGCATACAGCCATGAGTTCTTAAGGAACTCAGGTGTGAGATCGTTGAACTACTAACCCGTATATGTAACCTTTCACTAAATTCAGCCGCTGTACCAGAAGACATGAGAGTAGCAAATGTGACACTAATTTTTAAAAAAGAGATCCAGAGGGGGATCAGGAAATTACAGGCCAGTCAACCTAACGTCTGTCCCAGGCAAATTAGTAGCAACTGTAATCAAAGATAGAATTGTTAGGCACATAGAGGGACAAAGCCTGCTGAGGCAAAATCCTGCCTCACCAACCTTTGAGAATGTGAACAAGCATGTAGACAACGGTGACCTGGTAGACATTATATACTCAGACTTTCAACAGGTTTTTGACAAGGTACCTCACCACAGACTCCTGAGTAAACTTAGCAGTCATAGGATAAGAGGACGGGTTCTCTTATGGATTAAAAACTGGTTAAATGACAGGAAGCAAAGAGAAAGAATTGACTGACAGTTCTCACAATGGAGGGAAGTAAGCAGTGGGGCCCAAAAGGATCAGTATCAAGGCAGGTACTATTTAATTTATTGAGCAATGATCTGGAACTAGGGGTGAGTAAGTGTAGTGGCCAAATTTGCAGATGACACACAGTTATTCAGGATGGTGGAAACCAAGGCTGACTGTGAAGAGCTCCAAGAGGACCTCCACAAACTGAGTGAGTAACAATGTGGCAAATGATGTTCAATGTTGGTAAGTGTAAACTGATGCATATTGGGACGAAAAAACCCCACCTTCAAGTACAGGCAAATAGGGTCTGACCTTTCTAAGACTGAGAGGGAAAAAATCTTGGGGTCATAGCGGATAGCTCAATGAAAGTGTCAACCCAGTGTGCTGCAGTGGTGAAAAGGGCATGTGTTAGGGATTATTAGGAAAGGGATTGAGAATAAAACAGCCAATATTGTAATGCCCCTGTATTATGTGGCCTCATTTGGAATACTGTGTACAGTTCTGGTCACCATATCTCGAAGAAGACATTGCAGAGCTGGAAAAAGTACAGAGGAGGGCAACCAAGATGTTTAGAGGCTTGGAGCACCTTCCGTATGAAGAAAGGCTGAAGTGTCTTGAACTTTTCAGTTTAGAAAAGAGATGACTAAGGGGGGATATGATAGAGGTTTATAAAATTATGCATGGGGTAGAGTTGACAAAGAGAACTTTTTCTCCCTCTCCCAAAATACTAGAACATGAGGGCATCCGATGAAGCTGATGGGCAGCAGGTTCAGGATGGACAAAAGGATGTAGTACTTTACACAGAGAGTGATTAAAATGTGGAATTCGCTGTCAGAAGATGTGGTGATGGCCACAACAAGGAACAGCTTTAAAAAGGGATTGTATAGATTATACAGGTTCATAGGATGTCGATCAATGGCTACTAGCTATGGTGGCTGAGGGGAATCTCCATATTCTGAGGAACTAATCCTCTGAATCCCAGAGCCAGGAGGCAGCATCAGGGGAAAGCCTCGGCCACTATGCCCTGTTGTTGGTCATCCAGAGGAACTGGTTGGCCACTGTGTGAGACCGGATGCTGGACTAGATGGTCTGATCCAGGAGGGATCTTCTTGTGTTCTTATTATAAAACCCATAAAAGTCACAGCTAAAAAAATCTAGTTATGACTGCCAATAATACAAGCTAAATCCATCAAAATGCAGTCCTAAATAAAACTTTTATCGACTGCCTCCTGAAGATTGACAGGATCTGGGGAGTTTGTTCCACAATTGTGAGGCTGCCACAGAAAAAGCCCTCTCTCATGCACCCATTAAAAAAGGGTCTTTAATTGGTGGGACAGTTAGGAGAGCATCTCCCTTTGGGCTTAATTCCTGGCTAGTAACTTAGAGGAGAAGACACCCCAGACCTAAGCCAACACCTTGAATTGGGCTCAGGAGCAGATCAGTAGCCCGATAGCTGTCTCTGACCTGCAGTCTAGCGGCAGCATTCTGCACTAGCTGTAGTTTCTGAACAGTCTTCAAGCGTAGTGCATTGCAATAGTCCAGTCTAGATGTAACTAAGGCATGGATCACTGTGGCTAGATCTGACTGACCTGGAGACTCTGAAGATCAGAGGAGAACAATTCTGCAGTCACTTTAGTCTTTAAAACCTAAGAATTTGAGAAACTGGCAGTTTAGAGACAATGAAATTTGAGCTGTCATCCACTTCTGAATAGATGTTCTTTTTCCTGATCAATACTTATTCCCTTCCAGTTAAATCTGTGAAGAAGTCTTCTGTTCCTGGGGTAACAATCACACAATTTGTTGAGGATATTCCTAAAGGGTGCAGTACCCCTGACTTTGAACGGAAGCCAATTACCTTAACTTTACAGGAAGGTAAGAATCCGTGATAAACTATTATCCCCCTTCGTTTTTTTCTGCTCTGAGACAATAGTACATATTTTAACAAATCTAATTTGAAAAGTCATTTATGGCCCAGCCAAAAGACTCAGTGTACCAGCAAATAATATATTCTATCACCTCTGGGGCAACAGCCCACACATATCATGAGCCACACTGTGCCCTATCTGTGCCCCTAACAGCTAATTGGGAGGGAGGGCGGTATCACCTTACAATCTAGTGAACAAAATAAAACCTGCTGCTGTTTTTACTTTTTACTGCTGCCTTTCTCACTGAGACTCAAACTGGATTACCCAGTGTCAGTCAAATACAGAATATGATGGGACATCCAATAAACCAAGCAATACGGTCTGGACTTAAGATGCAGAAAACAAGCAGAAGTCTGAAAACAGAGCTGAAATAACATGTTAAATGATGCAGAAATTACATAGTAGGATCATGCTTACAGAAGCAGACAGTATGTACTACACACAGTAGTATAGTCTCTTGTAAGATGATCTGTGCTTTTTCTAACATTTAATTTCTTATTAACTAGTAGGGGTAAATTCATGGATGAAGGGCAAATTTTCCTAAGGGGGAGTCTGTTGTTCAGTTCATTTTTAAAAAATTATTTGAGTTTCTCTACAAATGACTTCTTGTTTCTTTTGCAAGGTAAAAATGCCATTTTCCGAGCAATGGTCAAGGGGGAACCAAAACCCGACGTGGTCTGGAAACGCAACAATAAGGACATTGATGATCCCCAAAAATACCAAATAAATATCAGTCCAGCAACAAATGAGTTCATCTTGCAGGTGAGTATTAACTACTAAGACAACGAGTTTGGGGCAATAATTAGCATGTTGGGGGACACCTGGGAAATCTATGTTCAAATATCCACTTGTCTTGATTTCTGCAAACTTTGAGCTGGACAGATTTAGCAGGCCAGCTGGGCTGCTGGGACTGTCCTTGGACTGAGCCTTGCCTGCCGACTGGTGGGAGCAACCCTAGCACCTCACGCCTTCCTTGCCACAGGCCTATGAGGAAGAAGTACAGTGTGCACTGTGCAAGACCATGCAGCCAAACAGTGTATTGCTCGCAACAGGCAGGCGGGGAACAACCTGAGCCTGTGTTTTCAAGCACTCCTCAGTCCAGTGGGAGACCTTGGACCACTATCCCACCTGGAGGCTGGCATCTCTACCCAAAGCCTATCTACACTTAAGAATTACAGCCCTGTCGAATGCATCACTGATTCAAACAGGGTTTCTCCCCAGTAAGCATTCACTGAAGAAAACTGTAAAGTAAGGATGCCAAGAAATTGAACTGGACACTGATACTATGCTTCCTTTTCATGGGAAACTCCTTGTATTGCATGATTGGTTTCTGATGCTTTGAAGGCTTACCGGACCCCTTTTTCAAGCTTCCCTCAATGCCTAAAACTCTGTTCAAACTCCAAATCTCCACATAAACACCATGGAGAAGTTGGATAATGTGAAGTGGCTGGATCATAACTGGAAACAGTTCTTCTTAGAAGGGTCAGGGAGGGTGGGGGCATTTCCTCTGCCCTGTGAGTTCCTGTCAGGTACACCACTGGTATGATATGCACAAAAAATCAGCCAAAAAGTAACCTACACACTAGCCTCCAGCTACTAGTGAATCTCCTTGTTGCCATGGAATTTTCATGAATGGTCCCAGTGCTTGTAGCACAGATGTAGAATTTTAACAATCAGAGCCGCTACAATGCAGAAAGTAGAAGGGTGGTTTAGCTAAGAAAAAAACATCTCAAGTCTTAGAGGTGGAGAAGGATGTGTGCCAGTTGTGGGACTGGTATGCGGAAGGCAAGGGGCATAGATGCAGGTTGCTTGGGGAGGTAAGGAATCAGGCAGACTAGACTGAAATGGCTGTGGAAAGAGCTAGGTTTGAATTTCATCTGTTGATTCAAAACAACTTGTCCGAATGTGCACATGTGAATGGGCTGTCTCCTCCTTCACATGGAAGACAAAGAGAGAATCTGTCCTGGTCACTCTAAAACGAAGGAAACGTAAGTGGTTACAGCAGCTATGAAGGAGGGGTGGAGAGCTATTTTTCATTGCTTGCAAAGTGAATGTTCACTTAATGCATATCTGTAACCTGAATGCAGCCACCTGTTTACATTTTTGCCTACAAGGATCAGTGGACTGGATTTTTATTTTACTTAAAACATTTATTAGCCACCTATCTCCCTTGCGGAACTCAAGGTAGCTTACAATATTAATAAAGAAGAAGAGAAGAAAAGAGATTGGATTTATACCCCACCCTTCACTTGGAGTCTCAGAGTGGCTTACAAACCCCTTTGCCTTCCTCTCCCCACAACAGACACCCTGTGAGATAGATGGGGCTGAGAGAGCTCTTTCGAGAACTGCTCTTTCAAGAAGAGCTCTGAAAGAACTATGGCTTGCCCAAGGTCATCCAGCAGCCACAAGCATTACATAGAGTATAATAAAAACCACTATTGAGCCAAAAGGGAACTAGGTTGCTGGTGATTAATATCAACAAGGTGGCAAAGCAGCTTTTAAACTAATCCCAGGGGGAAAGCCAACAGAAGCTGGTGAGCCTTCAGTTCAGGACAAGTCAGTCCAATGGGATGATTGTGTAAACACTCAGGATAATATTGATAGGAGCATAACAGAACTTGAGAGTGAGGGCACAATGGTGATTGAGGGCCATGTGTGGTAGCTAAGGGGCTGAGGGAGGCAAGGGTTACTGGAGAGCAAACCACATTGTTGGTGTCTGTACGCCAATGCTCAAAGTTTCCAAGCCAAGATGGGGGAGCTGCAGTGCTCGGCAATTTAAATATAGTATGTAGTGAAAATTTAAATATAGTAGGTATCTCAGCAACATGGTGGAATGGGAAAAATCTATGGGATACAGTCATTCCTGGGTATAAGCTCTATAGGCAGAACAGGGAGGAATGTATTGTTGTTGGCGTTGTGTTGTGCATCAAAGATGGCATATAGTCAAATAAGTTAGAAAACATCAGGGAATTAACTCCCCAACAGAAGTGATATGGGTGAAAATACTGGGCCCTAAGTATATACTATTGCCCATTGGTGGGACAGTTAGGAGAGCATCTCCCTTTGGGCTTAATTCCTGGCTAGTAACTTAGAGGAGAAGACACCCCAGACCTAAGCCAACACCTTGAATTGGGCTCAGGAGCAGATCAGTAGCCCGATAGCTGTCTCTGACCTGCAGTCTAGCGGCAGCATTCTGCACTAGCTGTAGTTTCTGAACAGTCTTCAAGCGTAGTGCATTGCAATAGTCCAGTCTAGATGTAACTAAGGCATGGATCACTGTGGCTAGATCTGACTGACCTGGAGACTCTGAAGATCAGAGGAGAACAATTCTGCAGTCACTTTAGTCTTTAAAACCTAAGAATTTGAGAAACTGGCAGTTTAGAGACAATGAAATTTGAGCTGTCATCCACTTCTGAATAGATGTTCTTTTTCCTGATCAATACTTATTCCCTTCCAGTTAAATCTGTGAAGAAGTCTTCTGTTCCTGGGGTAACAATCACACAATTTGTTGAGGATATTCCTAAAGGGTGCAGTACCCCTGACTTTGAACGGAAGCCAATTACCTTAACTTTACAGGAAGGTAAGAATCCGTGATAAACTATTATCCCCCTTCGTTTTTTTCTGCTCTGAGACAATAGTACATATTTTAACAAATCTAATTTGAAAAGTCATTTATGGCCCAGCCAAAAGACTCAGTGTACCAGCAAATAATATATTCTATCACCTCTGGGGCAACAGCCCACACATATCATGAGCCACACTGTGCCCTATCTGTGCCCCTAACAGCTAATTGGGAGGGAGGGCGGTTATCACCTTACAATCTAGTGATCAAAATAAAACCTGCTGCTGTTTTTACTTTTTACTGCTGCCTTTCTCACTGAGACTCAAACTGGATTACCCAGTGTCAGTCAAATACAGAATATGATGGGACATCCAATAAACCAAGCAATACGGTCTGGACTTCAAAAGCAGAAAACAAGCAGAAGTCTGAAAACAGAGCTGAAATAACATGTTAAATGATGCAGAAATTACATAGTAGGATCATGCTTACAGAAGCAGACAGTATGTACTACACACAGTAGTATAGTCTCTTGTAAGATGATCTGTGCTTTTTCTAACATTTAATTTCTTATTAACTAGTAGGGGTAAATTCATGGATGAAGGGCAAATTTTCCTAAGGGGGAGTCTGTTGTTCAGTTCATTTTTAAAAAATTATTTGAGTTTCTCTACAAATGACTTCTTGTTTCTTTTGCAAGGTAAAAATGCCATTTTCCGAGCAATGGTCAAGGGGGAACCAAAACCCGAATAACTAGTAGGGGTAAATTCATGGATGCAGGGCAAATTTTCCTAAGGGGGAGTCAGTTGTTCAGTTCATTTTTAAAAATTATTTGAGTTTCTCTTCAAATGACTTCTTGTT